TAAAGCTGTCTCTATAAAATTGCGTTATTCTAAATGAGTAAGTATACTCATCAAAATAGTCTTAGCAACTGTAAGTACTAGATGTATTAAAAACGTCACATGGGTTTCGTTTGGTTAAAGTGAGAGGGAGAAGAGAGGCGGCTTCGGTTTAGGTTGTCTGTTGTCTCACACTTCCTATGTGATTTTTTATTGCATTCTCTTTAGCTTAACAAGGTTTTATGTACACTGAGTTCTTTGCTTTCCTTTTGGAAAGAATATGAGAAAGTAAAAAGTGACAGCTCATACTTCACGACGTCTCTTTTTACAAAGTGAATATTTGAATACATAATAATATTGAGCTGTTTAAAGTCTTCTTATTTTAAATAAAACTAGTTTTTACGGGTTAATGCACGAAACTATTTATTTATTGACGTTTTCTTATTTTGACAATCAAACCCTATTAAACAGCTTTATGGAACTACATTCAATCGAAAACTAATTATTAATTTACTACAGACAAACAAATGAAAATTTCCGTTTAAGGGGCCAATCACTATCTACCCTTTGCATATTTTTCAAATGCAATATTTTCTCTCATCTAGAATCTTTAATTTTTTGAAATATGACACAACGTAAACTGTTTTGGAACTTTAATCGGTTTTTAATACCTGGATTATTTTTTTAAATAACCAATTAGATTTATTTTTGACTACAGTAGCGGCACGCTACGATGGCCGTTTTGGCGTTAGTTGGTTAATAAAGTTTCATATTCCAAATTTGAAATATGAAATACATAGTTGTACATTTATGAAAGAAATAATTTTTATTTCATTATCATTAGAAACGCGCATTTACTCATAAAATTTATAGAATCGGTAATTTTAGGGTGTCGAATTTAAATTTTACAAAACTTTATAAAATCATGGTCTAACTTATATTAAAGGTTAGGAAAAAACTTTTTCAAGATTAAAACAATTAAATATAATTTTATTTTTAAACATTTTTAACACAAAAACACCGGCCCTTTGACATAATATTTAAAGGATTAAGTAAATTAGTAAAAATATCTTTTTTATTGTTATTATCATAAAAAAAAATATCATACAAATAATAATATAATTATAGTGTACTTATTCTCCACATAACTCGGCACTAGTATTGTTCAAAAATCAAATTGTAAAAACATGAAATTAATAATAACGTTACATAATTATGATCGCTTAGTGTGAGTAAAAATTTACGTTTTTGTTTTATTCAATCTTTATAATTTTTTGCACTATGGTTAAGAAAATCCAAATGTTTAATACCTCGTATCTTCTAAGACCTGACTCGTATTTGATTATATAGGATTATTTCGAAAACAGGTTGACATTTCGCGTCACTATTATAATGTGTCAAAACGGCCATCATATCGTGCCGTGACTATAAAAGAATAGAACAATTGAATAACTCATATATTTCATAACGATAATATAAAATATCAACTTATTAAACTTGCAGTTTGCGCACATGATGCATATTGCTTATACTTCTATGATGTCTGTATATAAGTTTATATAAGAAACAATTAATAATTTCGTCGCAACGTAACCTATCAATCAGGCAGGCTATCAGGCGTGTCTTTGAGTTTGACCAAACTCTGAATTACTGAGATCATGCACGTGACATCGCTTAATCCATCTTTACTCGAGCGAGAGTTGTAGTTAATGGTTATGTGTGTGTAACTTAAGTTACTCACCCTAAATTAAAACATAACATAATTTGTATATTTAAGTGCAGCTTGACAGTAAAAAGTGTTGTAACAACACACATAATTAGCCTAACGTCTAAAGCTGGTACTGCAGATGTTCGAGTTTGTCTCAACACAATTTTTGAGCGGAGATTTCTTTATATTGAAGTTAAATTAATGCAATGATAAAAAAATTCATTCAAGTTGACTTTTTAATAAATCAATAAATAATAGTGAATATTGAAAACACATTCCATTTGATTTGGTATTACATTATACCGTATATAAGTTTTTTTTCGAGGATTGGACAATCAAACATATTAAAATTTTGCACTTCTCGATATTACGTTTCCTGACTATAAATAAATGAAATAATTAGGGTTCTGCTTATATGTAGGTATATTGACAAAAATAAAGAGTTTTTTTTTTCTATGATCTGGTGACTACAGACGGTATTCAAACCGCGACCTTTCTGTGTTACATTGTCTGCTTGTTACTTATATATAACGGTCAGCAATTTAATTAATTTGATTTTTTAAAAAAACCTTGTTTACGTACCAATTCAACATCTGCTATGTGCACTTTTTGTAGATGTTGTCATTTTACTAACCGAATTTTCGAATACTAGAACTGCTATGCGAATCTTTTCACTAAAACGATGAACAATGGTTGCAAAAAAACAAATGCTATGTGCATAAGCCAGAATATTGTCACATATTCACTACTATATCTTAAAGTTAGGTTTATTGTCCATGGCAGGCAATGGTTTGTCAACGAATAAATGTCAAATATCTAGCAACATTTTGCCGTGCAATAACATATTACTAATATATATTGCCTACTGATAAAACTAATGTTTATCATTTTAACTATCGACTTAGGAAGTGAGATCGGGGGACATGGCAGTGCCCCCGCCAAGTCGAGCGCGAAGCAAACACTGCCGTACCATCCTTTACTGGAACATTTCCCCGCATTTTCAGGCCCGTATTTGAGAACCTCTGGATAAGACCAGAACATAGAAATTTTCGTCATCCAGTATAGTAATGTTGCATGTATGAATACATCGGTGCAGTGGTGTCATGTAGCACCTGGTTTTGTACCCTTGTGTACCCTTCAACAGCCAAGTCACACAACATTAACTATAATAATAAAGAAATCGCAGTAAGGAACCTTAGACTTGGCACGACTTTGTCTAGATTTCATTAATTTTTAGAGATAAACAAGCAGCTCGATCGAGACTTGGCTAATTTTTTACAGAATGTTTTTGGTGGGATGTTATTTTACAGAATCGTCCTGTTGTATTTATTTCACTCTCAACACCGTATTACAGAAACACCTTATTATCATCAAAAAGGAAATTTGGTATACGGATAATTGACTAAATGGGATTTCTTTTGTAAATTTTAGTGTAATAGATATCTTCTGCGAACTTTGAGTATAACAGTATTATAATATCACCTCGTGCGCTAAGGAAAATCATAATTGTTTGTACTCCAATAGATACAAATCTTACGAAATTGCCGAAGTTCATAAGATAAGATTTGTATAGGATTTTATAAGATAATGTTGCTATTTTGGTTGAACAGTAATTATTATACACAAAGGCCGAATTCACATTACATAAATAGTACCATGCATACTGAAACTACACACAAATTACAATACATGAAACTTGTTGCAGTACTTATGTAACTAGATTCTATAAAATAATAGTAAGGAGCTCGATGGCGTGGGTGGTTAGCGTGTTCGGCTGCGATCGTTGAAGTTAAGCAACTTTCGCAGTAGTCAGTCATTGGATGGGTGACCAAAAATCTTCTACCTCGAGTTCCTCCGTGCTTCGGAAGGCACATTAAAAATAATAAAAATTAATATAACATATACTATTACATATCCATTAACAATAAAAAAAACACACACAAAACAGCAACATCACAGCTGAAGATAATATTGTTTGAGCTGGTTCTTGAACGTATTGAGGATCTTGGATCGTCTGATAGCCACAGGCAGCGAGTTCCAAAACCGTACGGCTTGTACGGCAAACAAATGATCGTAAAAAGTTGTGCGATGGGTGAGCATAGGAAGAGTCAGATTTTCTAATGACCTAACAGATAGTGATAACGCATTTTGTTGGAACTTAAAAACATTTCCTTGAGATAGCGCGGGGAAACATTGAACAAAATATTATAGAGGAGTGACAGGATGTGAACACGCTAACCACCTGCGCCATCGAGCTCCTGAAACAGTTACGTGTCCTTCGCGATTTTTGGATATATGAAACACGAAACGCCGTCATCAAAGCGCCTGCACTGATCGGACGTGTATGTTCTAATGGTGGTTTACGGATTTGATTAAAAAATAATAAATTTCTGACCTAAGTTGGACAGCTGATGAAAATATAAAATATATCAATGATTACCGGCAAAATAAGTGTCTCTTGCAAAATAAAGCTTCGAAGCAGTCGGAGCCATAATTCCACCTACACTGTTAATTTCACGACACTATTCATCGTCATCAGCCTATTAATGTTTTTTTTTAAAGCGATGTAGGCAAATGACTCTACCCCACCTGATGTTAAGTGGTGATAAAGTCCAAACGCGAAGACAGCTGGTACAGCAGTAATAAACTGCTACACCAACCATTTTCACCTTGCCGGCCTGCAAAAATGCTTCTTCACGCCTCTCTTAATGGACCCCAGATTATAGGAAGGAGGGAACACGTGCGCGGGTAAAGAATTCCACTTACGAATAGTACGACAAAGAAATGAGTCACCAAATTTCTTAGTTCGTGTAGGAATAGTGGCCACAGTAAGTCGGTGGCAACGTAGGCCAGCGCGCGTGGTCCTCTGAAGAAAAGGTGATGGAGGGATAAGCGAGAATATCCCCACAGCTGGGGCTTCCTTCCCTATGGATGGAATAGGGAGATTGGGCCGTGATCCACCATGCGGGCCCAGTGCGGATTGGCGGGTGCTTACGACAGCAGATGCAGCAGGGACCAATCTCCCTATTCCATCCATAGGGAAGGCCTGTGCCCCAGTAGTGGGGACATTAATAGGCTGATGATGATGATGATGACAAAGTAAATGTAATTCAACACCCCAACATTTCAGTTTCTGCAACTTTCCACGGTTGTCTGGAAGAAATCGCTTTTAGCGATAAGACCGCCACTTGTGACAATCTACTCTAATTTCTAATGTTATTTGTATATTGTATTGTGGTGATATAAAAAAGAGTTATCTTATCTTATTTTTAAACGTGTCAATTTATTTCAAAATTAGTCAGTCATTAAAAATCAATTCTCCTTTATACAAAAATTTTATTCACAAACTATACATACAAACACGACATACAAAGCACCTACCTAAAATCTAGATTCCTCAAGAATCAGTCTTTAAAAACAGTAAAATACAATTTCACATAATCACACAAGGCGGATTTCGTTACACATTACAAAAACATGTTCAGCTTTGAAATTTGAAAGCACCATGAAAACTTAAACCACAAAAACACTCGCTACTTATTATTTCACATTATTTTCAATACGTTCGTTTCTTTGAATGATTTAAAAATCGAATATTCCTTTTTTTAGTTGATAAAATTGTTCGGCCTCTGTGGCCATGTCTGCGGGCGCCGCCTCAAAGCTTCGTAGTATCGCCAGTTCGTGTACCAAAAAGGTCTGTTATCTATGGGCATGCTCTCTATTCTATTGATTAGGTTTACATCTCCTTTAGTTTCTATAGGAACTGGTGCGTCTTCGCCGAATCGGTTGGAGAGTTGACCGATTGTGTCGGTTTGCATAGCCGGGTAACCGATCGGTCGTGAGCCAGCGTAGAAAGGCCTCTGAGCTGAAGTGATTGCAGTGGTAGCAACTAGAAGAGTTAATACAGCAAATCGCGCCATTGCTATTATCTGGAAGTAGAAACCAAAATTACGATTAAACACGGGTTTTCAGTGAATATTGTTGTATTAGGGCAGTTGTAGCGGCTTGCTAGGAGTTCGGGAGATAAAGGATCTGTTTATGTCCTTACCACAAAAAACTTTAAGAAGAAGTCATATAAAATTTGCCATTGGGTTCTAGGCAATTTTTTTTTGCAAACATTAATATATAAAATTTTTTGAAACCGAATTAAAAAGGAGGAGGTTCGGCCAGTATTTTTTTTATGTTTGTACACTGATTACTACAAGATTACTATTCCAATTTGCGTGATTCTTTTTTTGTTGTTATTGGAATAGTTGCCGTTTGCTTCCATAAAAAAATATATCAGTTTGGCTCAGTCATTTTTATTTTATAAACATTTTTGTTACTTGGACAATGTCATTTTCGCGTTTCTTTGCTTATATGTACACAGATTACTTTGAGATGTCTGATTCGATTTCAGTTATTCTTCTTTGTTGGATTGAAAATACTTTCCGTTTAGTTCTCTAAAAAAATATTCAGTTTGAAAGAGTAGTTTTTATTTTATGAGCATATTTGTTTACTGTTTACTAGGATGATATAATTTTCACTAAATCCATTTTAGTAAATAAAAATGATTCTTAAACAAAAAAATAAAACTGACTTCAAAATCGAAAACGAAACTAAAAAGTAAGAAATAATTATTATGTGGTTCATGATTTAGTAGTTGGAAGGGGCCAAGGATGTAGCATGGAATACTCCTAGTTTTTCATTTCTAAGCGTACAAGAAAACGTGATTCAATCTTGACCCCGCCCGACTTCCAAATCATGAACCACATAATAATTTTTTCTTACTTTCGTTTTATGTTTTGTTAATTCTTATTTTTTTTTTTATTTTATTTATTATGCTAATGGTAGTATAAATACACACAATGACAACGGTCTACTTATTAAGATACATATTACACAGCTCATCAACAGAAGAACGGACGAACTTCAGCGAAAAATAGGGTTCCACACTAATAACACATTCATTAAAGTAATTACTTCCTACTTTAAATGGGTTCAGAGTTATTACTCTAGCAGCTTTTTTGCTTTGTATCCACTTTTACAATCTCAAAATAAGTGTATCGAACAATGGCGGACAATTGAACCGCTCAGAAGACCTTGGTTGTAAAAACACTATACATAATCACGATACTTATTCGCCCATATTCGATGTTTATTAAAAATAGATTATTACCTACATTATTATGTCGCCTGATAAATATTAGGCGATTTATGTAGTAGTTTATTTTTAAAATTTACTTTTAAGTCTATTGTACTACAAATAAATTTACTGAAAACATATAGACCTGTAACAATATAGGAAAAATAGTTTTAAGGGTTTCGTAACCGAACGGACAATGATTCTTTATTTTGAGCTTCTCCACGATCGGCCCCTCTGTCTGTCAGGTTAGACTTCCAATTCGAATAAAGAAACTTTGACTTTGAGCTGAATTTTGAGTTACCATATTATTGGAGTTACCTGAGAAACTGTACTAGCTAATTCAAACAATGATTTAGGTAATATTTCTGCAAAAAAAACTTTTTTTTTTCAAAAGTGTCTTCATTTTAACCTCAATATTTGTGCAATTATGAGGCTTTAACTATTTTCATTGCAAAACATTAATTCAAATAAAACTACTTGAAAGAAAGAAAAAAATATCTATTCTAATTCCTTAATAGGTATGATGTTTGCAAAATTGCGCCGTTTCAGGGTATTTTGTAAATGATATAAATCAATATTGATGACTGACTTGACTGATTCTTACTATTTTTATTTACACGATTTTAAGTATCTCAGGTAACTCGAAATTCACGGAGTAAATAATAATAAATCTTCCTCCTGAATCACTTCATCTTCATCAAATTTCAACTTTCAATTCACAGTGCATAATGCAAGCCCGAGAACAATTAAAACTGTAGGCTTCACTGAATCGAAACGAGGGCGGGTCACTAGTTAAACAATAAATCTCAAGGATTCAATAAATTCCACCAGAAAAGGTTATCGCACCTTTTTTATTATTACAATTAATGTTAAAAGAGTGGCAAATAAGCATATGGCCCGCCTGATGGTAAGCGGCTGGCATAGCCTATATATGCTACCAAATATATCACGCCGTTGCCTACTCTTCTCAATCCCCTACCCCGTGGAGGCCTGGAACCTCTCTCACCGACAGAAACACAACACCACCAAAAGGTAGTGTAATTTTACTGTGGTGGAAGACACATGCCCAGACGGGGCTTGTTCACTTTGACAACGTGCTGTCTTATTCTATTGCTATCGAATAAGACGAAAATCTAATTTCAGAATGCAAGAAGCGTAATATTGCGACGTTATCTGCTCGAACTTATCTTACTTAACGAACTCCGTTGCTATTTCTAATGTTAAATCTTGTAGTAAAGCACGAAACCCTTCAACTTTTCGGCTCTTGTCCATACACTGTCACTTGGTATTATATTATTATAATGAACTTTCAAAAATATATCTACTTAAAACTCCACAGATCAGAGTTAATTTAAAAAACAATATAAAAAAATGTTTATTAGACAACTCCAGAGATCATAGTTAATTTAAAAAAAATATAACAAAATGTATATAAAACAGTAGGTAATTAATTATTAAAATCTTCACACGGTAATCGTAATTATGTGAACACACCTACCTATTATTTTGTTTGCTGTCAAACAAGATGCGTGTTTACTTCGCGGATGCACTGTAGGTACTGTTAATATTGACTCTTGAAAACAGTTGTATAAATAGAAACTGACCAGACAGCTTATCAGGGAAGCAGCGTAGACATTAAATTAATTAGAACTGGCAAATTTCAAAATACTTTTTATTATTACTAAAGACAAAATTGTTTTGTGATGTTTATAATAGTTATGTAAAGTAATATATAACTATTATTTATTAAGTTTGTTTCTTATTCAGGTAGTTGTAAATTATTTTTTATTGCATTTTCTCTTTCCTGCTATGCACCACTTAGTTTAGCTGGAAAAGATCTGTTTTACAGATATGTGCTTACCATGTATTTACTATTTGATGCAATGAAGAGTATAGTAATGAGGTAATACGCTTCTTTTACTTGATAGTAATTATTATTTTTTTGTTTTCAAAAGATTTTATAACGAATGCGTTTATTATGTTAAGGGAAATATCATTGCAAAGTTATTTATTTATGGCAAAACTAGAACTAAAATGTTAATTGGGTTTATAGAATATTTTTATTTAATGCAATAACTAAAAATAGTAATTTCAGCCGTGATATCAGGTTACACTTTCAAGGTTTTTAATATTAAAAAAATGTACAAAATGTAAATACCATTTTCTGTAAAATTAAAATGTAAATCTGGATAAGGCAGAAGTTAATGATATTAAGTGCGAGCGCTTTGTATTTGTATATGTATGATAATTATCTAGGGAATTGAATAGTTTTCTTATTGTTTTTGTGAATGCCGTTCATTTTTTAAAACAATGGATATGAACAAGTGCAAAAGAGGGAGCCCACAGTCAGTGGTAATGGTGCATAGACCGAAAAAATAGGTTATTTAATGCAACTGCAGTATAGCTCATTTCTATATCACTCATTTTAATCACTTTTCTGTGCTACGCCTAAGTTAAGTGTTACACCTCAAGCTCACTTTAAGCAAAGCTAAATAATAAAAAAGCTTTTGCAGGATGCTTGGTAGAAATGACACATCCCTATTTATCAATTTTAAGGAATAAAAAGAAGAAATAAACATGTTAAGTTTTCTTATGAGCAACAAATATGTTAATTGGTTTATGTAAAAACAACAAACACAGGTTCCCAGTGTAAAAAAAAATCTTATACTGTATTGGGTGCTTTTCAAGATATTCGGCAAACCAATAAGTCGATTGAAAAAAAACAGGTAATGAGATAGATATGTACTTACAAAATAAGAAGTGCTTTTTCCAAAACAAAGTATTTCTACCCGTCTGCCTTTTCTCAATCAATCCAAAATATTTAATTAAGAATTTATAAACTAAACACTTCATCATAAAATAAGGTTTTGTTACTATCCTATGATTGTTAAGATATTAAGATGTTTTTTTACTACCTTGATTTCCTTGTAAGCAAACACACACAAATAGTGTATGTGAGTACACACACACTAACGGGACGAGATCGTTGTAGTAATTGTTATTGTTATATTGATAGCTATTTTTTCTCGTTTGTTATTTCTACAATACCTAATAAATTTTATAATTATAAAAATATATATTAAAAGAACTGGTTTGTGATACACAAGTTTTTCTTACATCAAAATACAGGCAGATATTGATTTGGCAATTGATGATGATATTTTTAAAAACATTATAGAGCACGATTTGAGTAATGATTCGGGTCATATCTAGTCCTCCAAAGGTCTACGGAAAAACCCACTGTCCATAATAAATGACAAGACGACTAAAGGAGATAATAATATTACAATAATACTCGTGAAATTGTTATGTCCCACTCACGAAACGGCCAGTGTATTGGGAACCCCGTCATATTTACTGATCCTACCATATCGGGGGTCACACATAATTTAAGTCAAAAATAAATGATTTATGAATCAGTCAAACCTCATATAGAGAATAGTATCATCTTTGTTAGCATAACTGTAACGATTGCGACATTGTTTGCTTAAGTTTTATTACTTAATTATTAAACTACATAGATATTTTTATTAAATTAGTTTTATTAAACTTATATTTGAGCAGAAACTGTGTCACTTATGTTTTTTTATAATGTTAAAAATGGCAAACGAGCGTATGGTAACCGGCCACCGTACCTTTGCCTGTACTACCCCGATCTAATCCCCAACCCCGTAGAGTCATGAAACCTTATCTTTTTTACGTTTATTAATAAGATTTCCAGCAAATGTGCAAAGTTCGAAAACATGATGTAGGTAATGACGCGTTCTGCATGCGTGTAAAGTAAATAAATACGTATTAAGTGAACTACTAACAAGATAGCGCAAATTAACATAATGCACTACGAGTATAGCTGTTGTAGTAAGATAAGAATGTATGAACACAACGCTTTTTACACGTAAGACGGACGTAATATCAAACTAAAATGATGTGAAGCATGCAAGATCCTACAATTTCGTTTGTTGTACACTATCTACACTCACACAAATGCACCAGGTCCGACAACCCGCTGCCTTTGACTCTGCGTGACAGCGCCAGTCACACGTTGAATTGCTTCGACGAAATTGTTAAAATATGCCGTCTTTTGTGGTGAAATTATGTAAAATCTACACGAGTAAACTACTAAAAAAGTAAACTAAAAAAAAGTCACAACTAATCACCTACTATGCGTAAGTAATGATGAATCCTGATATTTATTCTAAATTATAGTTTATTTAATGTGCTGAAAATTCTAAACAAAAAATGCAATCGTGTGGCCCCTTTTTTTACGGGATAATTTACAGTGGGAAAGTGGGAAAATTCGTATTTATACCATATGTGACACAGTAAGGAAATAGATAGAAAAGATTTATAAATCTATAAAATATTTTGGCAGGACTCAATTCTGCGTCTTCCGTTATCCGGCCGAATGCACTAACAGTTAGCATTTGTGGTAGTTTCTATAATAAAAAAAAATGATAATATCAAGTACCCAATGAGCACTAATGGCACTGATTATTTCATTTTTATAAATGCATATTAACACTAATATTTACATGTAAAAATAAGTTTCTTTATACGTAATAAGTTTTTCTTTTCTATCTCTGTGATCATAGAAATGTATTTGTTAGGCCAACATTATGTTTCTGAAGTGCAACCATTTCAATTGCTGAAATATCGGGAGATCACAATTTATATTTTTTATTATAATATATATTTGATTACGTAACGAGGGTGATTAGTAACTTAAATCGGTGATTTATATGACCACCCTCGAATCACGCACATACGGTAAGCGGGCGGCCATTGGCATGCTTCACTTACGATTACATGAGGTTACGTCCATCTTTTTTCCAGGTCCGTGATTGGGACTGGTTGAAATGAAAACGTGCCATTACTGAAATAGTCCTTACTCTCCGTCATTACTTCTTTTACCACACATTTTTATGTTTAAAAACACAAAAATTCGTGCACCGTTATCACGATGGTAGCCCGCTAACAGAAAAGAATTTTAACAGAAGAAAATTTGTCAGAAAACCTTTTGCTATATATTTTTTGTACTTCTAGTGTTTTGTTTCTGTGTCGGTTAAGTGTCGACATCATTTTGAACAGTTCTGATAACTTTTTTAGAATATTAATCCCAGAATTTTCAATTGAACCCACGACTATTGTGAGTTTTGTTTTACTGGTAAGTCTGGGAATTTTGTAACTGGTCTGGGTCTTACTAGTAAGTCTATTCTGAAAGAAATTCCCAGTAGTCCTACTGCTAGTACCCAGTAGGCGTTTATACGTTTTAAATCTTATTTAATTTATAAAGTCAAGCTTTGCGATAAAATTTATACCACACATTGGTATAAATTTTATCGTTCATGTTTAGAATAGGTATCGCATTACATTTTCGATTGATATTAAAAAAATCAGACTATCAACAAAAATCGGTTATTCAGTTGTAGTAAGCTCGCACGCCGCGCGGGCGGCCCGAGTTCGATTCCTATCCGAAGAAGGACTTTTTTTTAATAATTTTAAAGTTTTACTTGCATCGTGGTTTCATAAAATTGCGCCAATTTTTTCTTTGTTACATTATATAATTTTTCTCGCTTCTTTTTTCGTTATTACACACGCATGAGAAGATGAGAATTATATAGTTAGTGGATTATTATTAAATTTGATTTCCCTCGTATTGACGCCATGATGAAATAAGTCGATCATTCATGTTTAGTACACTTACTTATATAGACCCTGGGCTATCCAATTCTATTACATTTTATTATTAAAGTCACACAATAACGATTAAGTAATTAAATGACAATGGCGAACTCCCATACAAATTTTTGTTGAAATTTTTTTTTGCGTCTATAAATGAATTGCATGTTAAATTATAGAGTTTAGATTCTCGATTTGATTCGTATTATTTCTTTTATTATAGGAAGTCTGGATTTATAGATATTCCACTGTGAAGGTTATGTCATACCAAGTAAGTAATGTAAAAACGAATTATAAAAGTATTTTCAAGAGTACTTTATATGAAAATAAAAAATACATGGACCGGAACCATAGAAGTATAGCGGTCCCGTAGATTAGTGAATGTATGATCAATGGGCGCGGCGTAGGTACTGACAAACCGCGTCAAAATACTTAATAATACTTAACAGACAAGGGTTATTGAGTTCGAATACAATGTCTGTGCTGTGAGAAGTACTTAACAATTTGAAAATGCCGACAGCAATAATAAAGTATGAAAAAGGATTTCTAATAGTGAACTAATGGGATATTAATTAAATATGAAACACTTTTTATATTTTTTTTATTCCATATGTTTGACCACAATATCGTAGATAGTAGATAAAATGAAATAAATTCGATAGTATGGGACGGAATCGTATCCAAAATCCACAGCAAGAAGTCGTCCAAAATATTAGATTTGCAAGGCTTATGCCAAGCACTACTCAACAGTCGCAGGGAAAGATTTCGAAAGTCCAAATGCAGTACAAGTCACATAAGAAACAAATCAAAGAAAAAACACAATACGCTGATTTAAATCTTTGCAATACCTACACATGCACTTAAGCACAAGCAACGATAATGATAAC